GTCTAGAGAAACTGGATAATGAGCCATATGTTGATAGATTGTAGACTGATGTGGAAGACTTCTCTTTCTCTTCATGTTTTTTTGTTTGTTTTGTTTTTGGAGACAAGGCCTTATGTAGCCCAGTCTGATCTCAAACTCAGTATGTGGTCAAGGGTTGTTTTAAACTCCTGGTCTTTTTGCTTTTACCTCCGGAATGCTGGGATTATAGATGTGTACAGTCACAGCTGGCTACTCACAGACTTTTTCTTAAAAATACTGGCAGGGCTCAAAGTTAGCTCAAGTAGCAAATATCTCTGCCAAGCTAACAAAACCAATAGATCTAGGGTTGAACTAGGCAGGCTTGTTAGGATGTGTTTGAAGGTAGAGCCTTCCCTGGTTCCCTCTCTGCTTGGGTGGCTGAGTTGCCACAAAATGTTCACTCCTACTTTTCAGTGCACTCAGACTTCGCTGTTTTCTTTTAAGTGATGGACTTTCCAGCACTATGCTGATTGCTGTGGCTGATTGGGGGTTACCTCAGAGGTGATGGTTCTATGTGTCTGGGTCCTGCATTAAGATGGCCCTTTGCCACTGATAAAGAGGCACTCATTTGCCAGTTTGGTTTTGGAGTGGGCCTTCTACTTTGATGGCTACCTGTGGGTTTTGTTCTCTTTCATTTTCCTCCTAGGCCTCCTTATCTGTAAACCACATTGTCTCTGGCTTCAGTTGTTCAAATGGTTGTAAATATTCTTCCTGTCTTTAGCCTTCCCTGAGTCATTTTCAATGAAAGCATCATCACTTTGTGCTTGGATCTGATTATCCGATTGCCCTGTTGAATATTGTGTGTGGCTCCCCACTGTCCTCTAGATACACTCTAAGTCTCTTACCTATGTGCTCTGCTTTCCACATGGACCATATTGAGGCAACTCTGCCCATGTCCCTAATGCACTGGAAGTATTTATGTGACCCAAAATGGAGCTGCTTCTAGGATATGACCATTTTCTATCTTTTGATATCTTTGTGAATGCCACTCTCTTTGCTTGCCTTACCCTGCATACTGTGGCTTTGCTTCTTGTACTTGAGGTTGCTTTGAATCACCTAGAGGGTTAAATCTAGTTCTGAGTCCTACTCACAGACTGTTTGGTTCATTAGGAGATTGGGATTAGACCTTAGAACTTGCATTTCTAACAAGTCCCCTACTCATGCTGATATGTGTAGGGACCAGAGTTTGAGTACGAAAGACCAGGGTACCTACCTCATGTTACAAAACACTTCCCTTACTGTTTTTAGATTGCTTGTGTGCCTTTCTTCCTTACTGGCACTGAACTTTCTCAGCAAAAGAATATGTTTGTCTTTCAGTATGTGTCCTGCATTTAAGGTTTGGGTTTGTTTATATTCAGTAAGTATCGGTTGAATGGGCAAATGAACATGTCACTGTTTATGCAATAAAGTTTAACTTATTTGGCTTCCAGTGGATAGGTTTGGGGGACTATTTCACCTTCATGAAGTGTGGAAAGTAATTTCTTCCTCAGTATGCCATTATGTATCTGTTCTTGAAATAACTCAGTAGATATGGAACACATAAACTCCCACAAGGATTAGACAATAAGTGAAGTATAAAGACAAACAATTCATACTTGATAGAGCTCAAACTTAAAAAAATATATTTGGAGACATTTCTTTTTTTTTAAATTTAAATTGGAATCAAACTTGTTTTACATGTCATTACCAGTTCCCTCTCACTCCCCTCCTCTCCTGCCCTGTACCAACCCCCTATCCCATCCCCTTTCTGCTCCCCAGGGAGAGTGAGACCTTCTCTGAAGGTGGGGGATGGAGGATCTTCAAAGTCTGTCATAACATTTGGGGCAGGGCCTAGGTCCTCCCCCATGTGTCTAGGCTAAGAGAGTATTCCTCTATGGGGAATGGGCTCCCAATGTCCATTCATACACTAGAGATAAATACTGTTCCACTACCAGAGGCCCCATAGACTGCCTAGTCCTCCTAACTGACATCTACATTCAGGGGGCCTGGCTTCGTCCTATGCTGGTTTCCAAGCTGTTGGTCTGGGGTCCCTGGGCTCCCCCTTGTTCAGGTCACCAGTTTCTATGGGTTTCTCCAGCCTTGTCTTAATCCCTTTGCTCATCACTCCTCCCTCTCTACAACTGGATTCCAGAAATTTGGCTCAGTGCTTAGCTGTGGGTGTCTGCTTCTGCTTCCATCAGTTACTGGATGAAGGCTCTAGGATGGTATAATATAGTCATTAATCTCATTATCAGGAAGGGCATTTAAGGTAGCCTCTCCACTATTGCTGATATTATAAGTTGGGGTCATCCTTGTAGATCTCTGGACATTTCCCTAGTGCCAGATTTCTCTTTATACCTATAATGGTTCCCTCTATTAAGGTATGTCTTTTCTTGCTCTTCTTTATTCTAAGATAGGGGAAGCTTTTCTATAGGCTCAAGATGCTATCTGTTGACATGCTTAGCTTTTTGATTGGTAGATACTAGTGGTCTGCTAAGTAAATAGATTCCAAAAGTGTTTTAGCTATTAGTCCCAAGATGTCAGTTTTGATACAAAGGTAGTGAGCAAGGGATGGCTGTTCTAGACAGTTAGAACTTAGCCCGAGATAAGGTAACTAGCCTTTGGACCTGTAACATTCCAGTCTCCCCATAGTCCTGCAATTCTAATCAGTTAGTCTTTGCAGACGCAGCTTCTCTTCTTGCTCTTCATACTCCTTCATTATGGGTCTTTTATACCCCCTTCTCCCCACTGCTCCACTCAACTTTATTACTCTTTTATTGCTTATATTGCTTACTCTTACTTTTTTTTGAGATTCAATATTACCATGTAGAACTTGAATTCTCTATGCAGCTAATCTTGTCCTTGAACTCATGATCCCCTGCCTCAGCCTCCTGGTTGTAGGGATGATAGGCATGTACCACACTCCTTTCTCTATATCACTTCTCTCTCAATTTCACAGATTCTTCTGGCTTTTTCATACCTTTAAATTATACCTGGCCCTTGCTCTGAATCCTGGTCTGTCTGTGTATATGTTCAGGTTTTGATTTCTCTGCTTGTTGGTCTGTATATTTATTATTTATATCTTTAAGGAGGAACATCTCACACAAGTTGTTCTTTCAAGAAAAGAACTTTCTATGCCAAAGCATCTTATAGGCCAGTGTAATGTGTGCCCACCCTTTATTATTCCAACCTAGCCAGATGATAGATACCAGGTATGATGAAGTTTGGTTCATTAGACAATTGAGCACATGGGCAGTGGGAAACCTATCAAGTAAGCAAAGAGTAGCTTGGAGTATAAAAGTCCCGAGGCCAGGTAGAGGAGGTAGACTATTTTGATAAGCAACAGATAAGCTTATAAGTTTGGTTTTGGTCCTGGAGAATTGACTGAGAACTATTAAGAAGCTACTAACACTACCCAGGCATGAAATGATACAGGTAGGGAAAAAAGTAGTTGCTTATGAGGTTGGAGAAAGAGCAGCCGTGGCTAACATGAACAGTAACTAGCTAGGGTGGCTTCATTCTCAGGACTGAAGGAGAGAAGGAGAGAAGGAATGCACTCTAGGGGATCAGGAACTTCCATTTAGTACCAGGCAATGTAGCAGTTCAGCAGTTAGCACAGAGATGTCTGTGTAGTGGTACCTGCTCCCCTACCCCCCTCTCTTGCCTTCCTTGTGGCCACCTCTTGGTTCCATGGACATGGCCTTTGGTAAAAATATGTGTTCTTGGTGTAGATGGGAGGGATGGATCAAAGCCCCAGATGTTTCTCTCTGGGTTTCCATTTTGCTTCTGTCCCCAAAGCCTAGTCTAGCTTTTGTTTTCTCCTGTATTGGGTCTCTGGACTTTCAAGCTCTTAAATATTCAAATTTGGCATGCCTGCCCTCTAGTGGCAGGTTTGATGCACCCTCTCGTTACCCTGCTGATGGCAATACCATGATTGTTCTCTACTCAGCTTTGTATTTAGTAAATATTCCCAGCTCACACATGTGAAGGATAAATTCAGTGAGACTGACTTGCTGCTTAAGTAGGAACCAGAGATATGAGTTTGCATTAGGAATTTTGACTCCTGGATTTATATAATATAAATGCAGCAGGAATAAAGAAAATATTAACCCACTTATATTATAGCTCAGCCCATAACCTCAGCACCCAGGAGTATGAGGAAGGGTTACAGAAAATCTAGTGCCAATTTTGGCTACATATTAAGTTCTAGGCAATCATGGGTTACAGTATGAGACCAAGTCTCAAAAAAAAAAAAAAAAAAAAAAAAAAAAGAAAAAGAAAAAAGAAAGACAAGATAAAATATTATGCAGTTATAGCTGTTGCCATATGTTCTGTGCAGGGCAGAAGAAAATCTGAGGCTAGGGAGATGCTCACTAGATAAAGCACTATGCCAACACGAGGACCAGAATTCAGATCCCCAGAACCCATTTAATGTCTGCAGGCCATGCTCGCCTGCCTGCAATTCTAGTGCTTGGCGTGTGGGGACTGGGAATAAGCTGGCCAGCTAGGCTAGCTTTAACAGAGAGCTCAAGGTTCAGTTGCAAGACCCTGACTCAATGTGTGAGGTGGTAACCTATTGAGGAAGACTCCTCATATCAGTGTTGGGCCTCCACATACATGTGCCACCACACATACTTGTGAAAAAAAAAACATACTTTTCTTATCCACTTAGCTAATCTAAAAGTATCAAAATATGATGAATAACAGAAGAATTGTTGTTTTTTAAAACCCATCTTTTAACACATTGGAAAAATCTCATCATTCTTTAACTGTTCAGTATTTCATGGTCAGTCATGTTAACTTTGAGGGCACAAGAAAGCATAAAGCTTGATATCTACTTTTTATCTATCATAGTTTATAATTTGGTTAAATTCTTATTATGAGGTAGTTAAGTTTATTTCCTTGAGGAAAATTTATGAGAAATATAAAGTAATTCTCATCGGTGTTTAAGTCTCATACCTCATCTCATGTAAGGAAGGTTCTGTGAGCACTGTTTTTTAAAGTCCTTTTCAGTGGAGAGAGAACTGCAGGACAACAACAGTAATTACCCAGATGAGCCCTGGAGGATAACAGAAGAACAGCGGGAATACTATGTCAATCAGTTTCGCTCCCTCCAGCCAGATCCAAGTTCCTTCATTTCAGGTGAGAGAAACATGGTGTCCTGGAACATGGTTCCCGTGTGAATTATGGAGAATATCTTGAGAAGCAGTGGATACAAAATGAAAATATTACAATCTCTGATTCCAGTTTGTATTCCTCTAAGGTGGAATTTCTTACCAAATATATGTATGCAGAAAGGAATGGTAATGACCTGGGAAAATTATACTGCCATTGCAGAAGGGTTAAATAGGAATTTGGGGGAACTTGATCCAGACCCTGTACCTTCTCAGCCAAAGCACTTGGAATAGTAGATGATAGTGCCAGGACACCTTTAATTGCTTACTCATTGTATCAGAGTCAGAGCAAAGACAAAGTATAGCCTTCCAGCACAGGTCTCCTTATGGTTTATGCCCCCTATAAGTTTAGGCTTATGCTCATTTATTTTGGCACAAGTCTTTCTTCCCTGGTTTTTGAAATTAGGATATGAGAGGAAAACTGACCAGCATATTCTCAGTCAATTCTCCTGGATTAACATTGGTTATTTGCATTCCTGTTGTGCCCACATGTAAAATTCAAGCTGAGAGGAATTGATTTAATTCCCATGTGCCTACATTTTACCGGGAGAAAGACTAAACAAAAAGTAAAATAGTAGAGTGAGTCTAGAAGAAAAATTTATAAAACTTTCATTTTATACTTTGATTTTAGAGAAATAACAGTATGTTTTTGATCATTCTAAACTAACAGTGAAGCATGAATTAAGACTAATTTTCTATGAATTAACATATATAATTGATATATGAAGATATATATATTCATATATCATTTTGGTGATTGGTGGTAATGGCATTATGGAAGGTAGAATAGTATAGAAATAGCAAATGAATTTTAACATTATGATTTAGAAAAGGCAAGCAGAAATCCAGATTATGTATATTGACAACAGGGTAACCTTACCTCTTTCTCAACTAAGTCATTTCACAACATATGCAGATATTTAGCCAAATATGGATAAGTAGTTGTTAGAAATGTTTTCTAAAATTTTCTTTCAATCTTTTTATTTTTGCAAAATTTCAAGTATAGCTGCATCTTGACTTGCCACTATAACAAATCCCCATGGACATGTGCTAGCAATTTTGTCTTTATTCCATCCCATCTTTGATTATTTTGAAATATAATTGCTAGGCCATTTGATTTGAAAAATATTCCAGTATATATCTTTGGGTCTCTTAAAAACACATAACCAGAACTCACTGGTACATGTGAGTAAAATGTCACTGATTCTTTAATACAATAAGTTCTTCATTGTTCAATTTTTTTTTCTGATTGTCTTCTTAGTTTCTTTAAAATGTTTAGTTTGATCTTTAAATGTTTAGTTTGATCACAATGAAGCAATTCATAAAAGACATTTAGTTGATGTCTTTTAAAATAAAAATCTTAGTTGAGATATAATTCATATACCATAAAACTTAGCATTTAAACCATACGGTCCAGTGACTTTATTTCATCCACAGGGTAGGTTCATAACCTAAATTTAGAACCTTTCCATCACCCCTCTACAATCTACCCATTTAGCAGCAGTTACTACCTACTCCTCTCTTGTCCATCTCTTGGTCCTAGGACAGTATTAATGTACTTTTTTTTCCCTCCAGACTTACATATTCTGGGCTTTTCATATAAATGGAGTCTCTTTTCTGGTGGCTTGATGGTGGAGCTGGAGTAAAAGTACCTGAGCATGTCTCACTTGGTGCACTCAAAGGAGAGAACACTTAGGCTTTCTCCTTAGCTCCCTTCTTTAGCTGGTGGCATCTGGGATGCAGCTGAATTTGATAGCTGTCAGCTTCCCAGTTCCTTCCACCTAACTTTTCCGAGACTCTAGGTACAATAGTTTCCTACGTGAAAGCCAGCATTAGCTAGTAGGGATCTACTGTGCTTTGAAGAGAGAGGATCCAGCAGGAAACATACTGGTAGGACAAAGGGAATGTCTCTATATCTTGGTTGCTATAGCATAGTTGACAAGTTCTGTCAGGTGGCCCAAGGTGGTTGATTGCATTGGTAGGCAAGAGTCACATGTTAGCATTATTGACAGTCGCCTTTGAGGAGAAGGCTCATTGGCTTATCGCTACTTTGCTTTTGATCCTTAATAATTTATCAGAAGAGGGCTGGAGAGATGGCTTAGCTGTTAAAGGCTAGGCTCACAACCAAAAATAATTTATCAGAAGAAAGTAAATATTTCTTTAGGATTCATTATAACCCCCTTTACAATTTATTTTATTTTGTTTTATTTTTGAGACAGTGTCTCACTGTGTAACCCTTGCAATTCTGTAACTTGGTATATAGGCCAGGCTAGCCTTGAACTCACAGACAACTGCCTGTTTCTATCTATTGAGTGCTAGGATTAAAGGTGTGTGAGCCATGCTTGGCCTGCTTTTAGCTTGTTTTTTATAGTGTTGGAGCTTGTATTCCAAGGCTTTGCATATGGCAGTCAAGTGCTCTGCTTCCAACCACATTCCCAGCTATTGCTATTGCTTTAAGGTTAATAGAAAACCTATAATTGCTCTGGGAGGCTTTTGACTTAGCTTAGAACAACTTGGTGCTTTAATGCTCTCTTGTATTAGAAATGAGGCTTTTGAATTGTGAAGCTATTGAGAGCTGGAAACATGAAAGAGCTCAGTGAAGGCTAATATTTCAAGTACAGCAGGGACAATGGGATGTCAGCTTAACTTTAACTGACGTAGGTAAATTTACAATGAAAAGAGTCCTAGAAGCATTCTTCAAAGCACCATCAAGAGATCTTAAATCTCATCAAAAATATTTCTCAAGATGTCTCTCTTGTTTTTGATAGGATTAATGATACCATTTTTATGCTTATCATTTTCCCATGCTCTGTATTGCTTTTCCATTCTTTAAGTATAACACTCCACATCATTTTTACTTAAGTAATTTTGAAGGTTTTAGTAAAAACGTGCAGTTTTGGTAGAAGCAAAGCAGGAATTTATATGGTTTGCATTGCCGTGAGTATATTGTCATTGCTTCTTTCTATATATTCAATATTTCTTTTATTTGTAGTTTTCTCATTTTTTGCAACAATGAAGGTCAGTCTTTGGCTCTCAGAGGTGCTAGGCAAGCCACATGGTGCTCTTCAGAAAGTTCTGTGATTTGTTGTTGCTTGTAGAATAAACACATTTGTGGTTCTTTTGTAGAAATTGCTGAATGAAAATGTGATGCTAGGCTTGCATATAAAAGCTGCTCCAGACAAGGGACTAATGGTTTATTTAAACAATGGCTTTTGACAGGGTCTGTGGCCAAGAACTTCTTCACCAAATCAAAGCTCTCAATCCCAGAGCTCTCGTATATCTGGTGAGTACAATCACTGCCAAGTGGTATCATATGCTCATCTTTTAGCACTTTTGAAAGTGATTTGAAAGATGTGATATTTGTTTGCTTCGAGACAGAGATTCACTCTGTGATCCAGGCTGACCTGTAAGTTACTGTGTAGCCCAGGCTGGTCTCAGTCTTGTAGTAAGTGCCATACCTCAGCCTCTCAAGTACGTTTTGTTTTTTAGATTTTTTTTTTTTTTTAGTGGTGCTAAGATTTGAATTCAGGGCATCACACATATCAGGTAAGTGCTCTACTGCTGAGCTACACTCTCAGCCCTGAGGTTTATTCTTTGAATTTTTTTTTTTAAATAGATTGAGAGTAAATAGAACTTGGGATTTTGTTGGTATGAAGATTAAATAAATTATCATATGAAAAACACAGTGAACAGTATCAGGTGTATACTATGAACCATAAGTGTTAGCTACTAGTTTAAAAGTAATTTCCTCAGGCTGGAGACATGACTGCTCTTCTAGAGGAGCCAATTTTGGTTCCCAGCATCAACATGGCATTCCTGACTGCCTGTAATTCCAATTCCAGGGATTCAACACTTGGACTGGCCTCCTAGGGCATTGTATTCATATGGCATACTCACACAGATAGACACATATATGTAAAAGTCATTTCCTGCTTATTGGTCTTTTCTCATCCTGATTTCAGTCTAGGCAGTTGTGCACATGTGAGACATTATCATTCATATATATGTATATATATATATATATATATATATATATCCATCCGTCTGTCCGTCCGTCCATCCATCCATCCATCCATCCATCCATCCATCCATCCATCCATCCATCCATCCATCCATCCATCCATCCTAGTGTGAGGCTAGAAGCCAGAGTACCTTGAAAAGACATTCTTCATTTTATAAGGTAGGGTGAACATAAGGTCCAAGAGCATTTTGGAACGAAGTTAAATTTTTCTATTCTAGATGCCTGTGAACTTTGTAAATTTGGCAGGTGTTTCACAGCTGGGCTCTAATTCAGCCTGTGCAGCTGCAGTGTCGGCTCTGCCTTGCTACTGAGTCCTGCCACAATTGTAGCTCCAGGAGGGCTGTGCTGCAATGGTCCAGATGGTTCTCTTTGCATCTATGAAAATGCTCAGCACCATAAACTCCTGCCTTTGTGGATCATGCTGTCATAAATATATATTAAAACATTGGAATACTTATGTAAAGCTTTTCATGAGACATTACAAAACTGTGATGGAATTTAGAATTGCACACCATATATTGTGCAATCTTATTGAAAAACTATCCCAGTCATACCATACATGCCATTGTAGCTGGAATTTTGAGCTGGATTTAGGTTCTTCAGCCATATACATGTACTCTGGCCTTTCCCCCCCAATAAGTCTTATGTTAGATTTTAAGAGTAGGAAAATGTGACCATTTAAAAAAGAATATAGTCTGTTTTGGCAGAACTCTGCCTTAACATCACCCTGTGAGGCTTCCTGTCTTTTTGTTGAGACAAATGCATGAAAGCTAAATGGCATATTCTCCATCCAGCATTTGAAGCAGTTCCCAGACACCTCCCTCCTGGGAGCAGCTGTTTCAGGGCTGGTGAATTCTGAATTAGAGCAAGAGTCTCATGGGGAATAGGAGGATGCAAATGGTTCAAAGCAAAGTTACAGACCTTCCCTCAGAGATGGTTTTTTTAATTTTTTTCCAATAGCAACATCTTTTTAGTACAGTTTTACACAAGTCTTATCTCTATACTTGTCCTAATACAAGTATGCTTGTGTCTGTACACCACAGAGATGTTGGTATTTAAGGGGTCTTAGTTCTTTTAGCAAATGGGTTTCTTTTGTGCTCAGTGAATAAGTCTGTGTCTTTTAGTGTGAGACAGTGACTGAAGTGAAGACAAGCCTTTTCAAGATTCCTTTTCTTCGTTTGTCTTTCCCAGTTCCAGCCTTTTCTAGTTGCTACTTTAGTATTAAAATATGATGCAACCAGTATTTCTTGAACCTATTTGTCTTTCTTTTTCTATTTTTTTTTCTTTCTTGATTGAGCTATACATTTTCCCCACTCCCCTTCTACTCTTCTCTTGCCCCTGATGCTTTCAATTTACTAGGTCTTGTCTTTTTTCCTTTCCTACAGGCCACAACCCCTATTTGTACTTCTACACACACACACACACACACACACACACACACACACACTTGCTTTTCTTTGTCCCCTCCTACTCTCGTTCTCTCTTGCTCTTTCGCTTTCTCTGTCCCTTTCTCCCCTTTCATCTCTTCCCTCTTTCTTTGTCCCTTGACCCATCCTGTCTTTTGCCTCTGTGTTCTCAAACAGGGTTCCATGTACTTCAGGCTGGCTTCGAAATTCCTATGTAGCTAAGACTAGTCATGAACTCCTGATCAGCCTGCCTTTTGCTTCCCAAGTGTGGGGCTTATAGGTATGTACCACCATGCCCAGCTCTCTAAGATGAAATTTTCATGCAGACTAATTTACTACTAAACTGTACACTGTTTAAGGTTTTCCCTTAAAGTTGAAGAAAAAAACAAACCAAAACAATAACAGCAACATCAACATCAACAACAAACTAAAGAACTGCCTATGTCCATGCTCTGAATGAACACTCCTTAGTGGCTGAGTCTCTACTTCCTTGGCTCTTTTCCAGCATTAATTCCAGTACTCTTCACACTGTGCTGCCTGCACTTATCGAGCAACTGTCAGATAACTTCAGAACCCCAGACATCACTGTTCTTTTCTCTCTAGAGTTTCCTATGCCTTGTCTCAGTGTTGAAAAGCAGACCTATCAGGGAGCCTGAAGAATTTCCATTTTCATTTACAAAGTGTCACTGATGATACTGCTAAAAATCAGTTTGTTTTCTTCCTCTGGGTGGCCCTTGGGATTTCACATTGGTTTCCTTAGGAAACTTTGAGTACCACAGGCCATGGGCAGGAATCTGGGAACTGTGTATGCATGCTTGAGTCTGACGCTGCATGACAGGTACTCATAACATCTCTTATCTTTAGGGAACTCAGTGATGCTGACTGTGATGGAGCCCTGACCTTGCCTGAGTTTTGTGCTGCGTTTCATCTCATTGTAGCACGAAAGAACGGCTATCCACTGCCAGAGGGCCTGCCTCCTACTCTGCAGTCAGAATATTTGCAAGCAGGTAAGGCCTCATCATACACCATTAACCTTAGCTATTTTTCATGGAGGCCTAATAACAAACTCTTATTTCTTAAAATGGTACCTGAACATAAGGGACTCCTTGCCATCTGAAGATACTTTCTTTAATTTATATCAGACTTTCACATGTTAGAATATGAGTTATAGGGGTGGTCTAGGGAGTATGAGCCATCTGTTCTTCTGTTTCTGGTGCCTCTGGGTAGTTTAGAATTAATGCCACTTCTCTTTTCATGAAAGTCATGGACAGCAAATACTGAACCCCACTGTCAATAGAAAATAAATCTTATAGCATTAACTACAAGCTTGGCATCTTGAGACATATGCTAGTATCATTAAGTGGTGTTGGGTAAGGTAATTCAAATCTATAAGGTTGTTTTTTAATAAGGTGATAGGAATTATATCAGATGTCATTTTACTTGTAATATAGAACTAATCCATTTTCCCAAATGAGAGGACAGACTTGTAAGGTTACATTGCATATGTGAGAGGAGCTATATTTCCTCTGTGGTCTGGGAAGAGAGGAGCAGCAGTATGCTGAGAAGTACTGAGAAGGGGTTTGGAACACCCAAGGGATAGAAACTTCAAGCCACAGTGGTTGGAGAGTATAGAACAAAGAAGAGGCCAGGATGAGGCAAAAGAGAAGAGCAGAAACCATATCATGAGCAATAGCATTGGCCTGTGTTAGGCAGGGAAGTAACAAAATTACATTTCTTGTCTGCAGAGATTCTATGGGTTGCCTACCACAGACTATAACTAGTCAAGAGGAGAGAAGGACTCAGACTGGGGAGGTGACAGTGGACACGGAGAGACAGAATATAGGATGGAGAGAGTTGGCTGTTAATTGTTGTCATTTGTAGCCTTTGAAAAGTGTTAGCTTCCTCAGGAAGACTGCCTTCTGTTCGCCTCCACATGGTACCCGAGCCAGCACTTCAGTGCACAGCAGTGGTGGGAAGATGAGTAAGGACTGAAAAATGACACCAATTGCCAGATGGTGGCACACACCTTTAATCCCAGAACTCTGGAGGCAGAGGCAGGCGGATCTCTGTGAGTTCAAGGCCAGCCTGTTCTAAATAGTGCACTCAAGGCTAGGTAGAGCTACAAACTTAGACTCAAATAGTCAAAATTAAATTAAAAGTATACAATGGCCCCAGGCAGTGATGACAGCACTCAAAGGCAGGCAGATCTGTGTTTTGAGGCCAGCCTGATCTGAGTTCCAGGATAGCTAAGATTACACAGAGAAACCTTGTCTTGAACCACTCCTCACAAGACACTAACTGTTATGAGTAGGTTTTCCCTGCAGGCCTGAACCCACAGCTGCACCAGCCCCAAATAATACACAGAGACTCTGTATTTGATATAATGCTGTAGGCCAGTTGCTAGTTTCTTATTGGCTAGCTCTGTCTTAATTATTAACCCATTTCTATTAATCTAAGTACTGCCACGTGGTCTCATCTTACCAGAGAGAGGGGCTGGCGTTCTTCTCTCTCCATTGTCCATCTTGGATCTCTTCCCTACCACTTCCTCTTTCCACCTAGTTTTCTAGTCCTGCCTATCTTGCTTTCCTATTGGCCAACAGTGTTTTATTCATTAAGCATACGAGAAACATATTTACAGAATGACCTCTCTCATCAACTAACAAAGTCTTTTTTTTTAACATTCAGTTCAGTTTTAAAAAAGCATTTTATTAAAAATTGACTTCCTAACAGTGTGTCTTGACAGATTTGATTTACAGCTTCTATTTATTATCTTCCCCAGTCTGCTTTTCTTTTTTGTAATATTAGCAACTTTTAAAAGTCCTTGTGATATTTCATTGTTAATTACTTCATGTTACAGTGGTAAGGTAGATCTGCTCCTAAGAAGTAACATGGCTGTTAGCTTTTCTCATAGCATGCTTTCTTCTTCATGTCCAGTTACTTAGTTTCCCAACTCACATCTACTTTTGCTGTTGTATGGTAGAAGAGACTTGTAATGTTATTTTATTTATTGTCAGTCAGTAAGAATGTATGCTTTCATTTTTGTTATTCCTAGTAACAAAGGATAAATATTTCATGGAGTTATGTTTAGTATATATTATTTTAGTGTCTTGCTTATTTCTAGCAATATTCAAAAGGAAATACTTTTTATTTAATGTTCCTAGTATTCAAACTATCTTTATGATTATTGCACTAAAATTGTGTTTAGTATGATTAAAACTTAACATATGATAGTCAGCATGTCAAAGTGCTACTATATTGTAACATTTGTTTCCAAGAGCAACAACTCCTCTGCTGACCTGTCAGGTGTTCTGACTGTGTGTCCTTGAGTAAATTATTATCTTCCCTGTTCCTCAGTGTCAGCATGTATAAAATGGGAATGCCAATAATAGATTGTGTTGTAAGGACTTTCAAATGCTGTTTCACTACAACTAGTGATGTTGGTAGTACATATGAGTGAGCCGACTTAGGTGTCATATTTAACAGCTAAGAAATTCCACTATGGCTGTATTATATATTCTTACATATTCTTTACCTTCTTTACTAGCTTTCCCGAAATCCAAGTGGGAGTGTGCAATATTTGATTCTTATTCTGAGTCAATGCCAGCAAACCAACCACCCTGTGACTTGAATCGGATGGAGGTAAAAAAATAAAAACAAACAAACAAACAAAAAAAACACAAACAAGCAAAAAAAAACTTCCTATGTTAGTAAGGATGTATGTAGAAGTAAATAATAGTTTATGTCTTTACAAATGCTGGAAAATGAGCTCTTATAGCATTTTTCTTTTCATGTTTCATTTGAGGATTGGCCTTTCAAATATACACACCAAGTAATGTGTATAATTCTTTTTCTTCATAAAAGTAGAGTATGTGAGATAATACCAACATCACTTGAGCTTCTGGATGTGAAATTATGTACAGCCAAACAAAGGCAGATGATGCTAGGCAAGTTCTTTACTTTAACCAGGCTTTAAGTCCTTAGTAAATAATTTTTTAAAAATTTGTTTGTTTTTGTGTGTATAGGCGTTTTACCTGTGTGCATGTCTGTGCACCATGTGTGTGTGTGGTGGCTACAGAGGCCAGAAGAAGGTCTGTAACTCTCTTGTACTGGAGTTACAGATAGCTTCAAACTACCTTGTGGATGCTGGGAATTGAACCAACGTTCTCTGGAAGAACAGACAATGCTCTTAACCTTTGAGCCTGTTCTATAGTCCCTTAGTAAATAATTTAAGTTGGAGTTTTAATTGCTGGGCATTAGCAAGGTATAACAAACCTGAAAAAATTTGAAAAGAGCTTTGAGAAGTGTGTAAGGGGCCCTAAATCACATTTAAAGATACCTCATGTCTTTAAACCTTTAAATTAATGAGGATGGATTTGGATGATTCTCCAAAAGAAATTTGGCAAATTCCCATGATATTGGACAATTAATGGAAGGCTTATCCCTGTGTTAAGTGATCTTTAGCTACAGTTTAATAACTATGAATTGGTATGGTTATTTTTATTGCCATAATCATCATTATCACTATTATGATTACTATGATGACAATTTTTTACTTTAAATTTTAAATTTTTATTTTTTAAGATTTATTTATTATGTATATAGTGTTCTGCCTGCAGGCAAGAAGAGGGCACCAGACATCCTTATAGATAGTTGTGAGCTGGCATGTGGGCTCTGGGAATTGAACCCAGATCCTCTGGAAGAGCAGTCAGTGCTCTTAACCTCTTAGCCATCTCTCCAGTTCCATAACTTCAGGATTCAGCATCCTCACACAGACATACATACAGGCAAAACACCAATGCACAAAAAATAAATAAAAATTAAAAAAATTAAGGATTATAGTTTCAGGTATATTCCATGTTAGTATGTTAGGTTAATAGCTTTTTCTTCTTAAAAATATCTTTATAGAGAAATACCATACCATGCCAATTTAAAGCACACGGTTCAACCATCAACATAATCTAATCATAGAACTTTTTTTTAGTGAAGTAGTGAGTTTGTTGGGGTTCCTTACAGGACTACAGGTGTGGAGTTACAGAGTATGGACGGTTTAAAGAGAGCTGTATCACTAAAACGCCTACCTCATCCTTAGGCATAAAACATTTTTATCACTCTTAATTAAAACCATGTTTTCATTTGCTACACTCCCTGCCACCATTTTCTGATGATCACTAGTCAAATTTCTTAATGTATTTATTCATTTATTTGGGGTGGGTACACATATCATGACCTCAGCATGGAGATCAAAGGGCAGCTTGCAGTCAGTTGTTTCTTTTTACAATGTGGGGCCTGAGGATTAAACTTGGGTCTTCATACTTGGCAACAAGTAACTTTACCAACTGATCCATTTCCCTGGCTCCCACTAACGTTTCTGTTTCTGGATTAGTATATTCTTAGAATTTCCTATAAATAGGATAATAGTTTACGTGTGGTTTGTGAGTGTATTTTTCACTTATTACAGTGTTTTGAAGGTACTTCTTCTTCTTTTTTTTTTTTTTGCTGAATAGTATTCATTGTATGGATATGCCACATTTTGTTTAGTTTTCCTTGTTGCATATTTTGGCAACTATGAACCTACATGTGTAAATTTTTGTGTGAACAAATATGATCAGTTCTCTTTTCATTATATTTAATAGTGGAATTGTTGGATAGTACCAAAGAGGTGCTAAATTTCTGAGGAACCACAAAACTGCTTCCTAAAGCAACTGCTTAGTTCAGTTCTCCATCCAGAAATGTCTGAGGGCTCCAGTTCTTTCACAACCCTGCTAACCCTTGTTCCTGCCATTTTCATTTTAACCATCCTTTATATTATTGTAGTTTCAGTTTGAAAATGATCAGTGATGTTGAACATTTCTTCATGTGCTTGTTAGCCATTTGAGTATTTTCTTTGTGTATTTTTCCAGCTATTAAAATCCTGTGTGCATTTTATTTGCTTTTTGTTTGTTTTGGTGTTTTGAGCAAGTGCTTTACCACTGACCTCTATCTTCAGCAAGATTTTTCAGTGATTTTTTTTGGATTTATTTTTTTTCTGCTTTTTTCTTTTCTTTTCTTTTTTTCTTTTTTTGTTCCTAGACCATTTTCTTCTCTAATGTTGTCGTCCAGGTAGGAGAAGACAATAAAAGCAATGCACTATTGTCTGGCCACATTTGTATTGCTAGCTGTTTGGTATGTTAAGACTGGAGGATTATAAGCTCAAGACTAATCTGGGCTATGGAGTGATTTTAAGGCTGGCCTGGGAAACTTACTGAGACCTTGCCTCAGAAGAAAAACAGAAAAACAGGTTGGGGATATAGTTTGGTGGCATATTCACTTGCCTAGAATGCTATGAGACTCTAGGTTCAATCCCCAGCACTGTAGAAAACAACAACAACAACAAAACAAAAACAAGAACAAAACAAACAAACAAAAAAGACTTCTTCAATAATTTACTGGAGATAACAGGTGGTGAATAGGAAATGACTTCTGGGAATTTCATTGTAGTGTGGAGAATCGCCTATTAGGATAGGAATGCATGCCATGTCAAGCAGATTTAAGGACGTGTTAGCTGCCTTTCAGAAGGAATGGCTAAAATGTAGATGTGGACTGTGGATTAGCCTACAGAAAAATGATACTGCATAAATCAAGAAGTGAGAGGGCCTTGTGAGCTTTCCTCCTTCCATATTTGGATGTCAACTGGTGTCATACATTGGCTTACTTCTAGATGAAGAGCTACAGGAAATGAATGACTGCTAAGAGAGGGAGAATCAGTCTTCTCTAGGGACAAGATTCCTGATAGGTTATCCATTACCAAGTACTCAGCTGTAAATACATGTATATACAAGCACTTCTAGATGGACTTAGTAGGCTTTGTTATATCTCCATATGTTCATAAAGTAATTATGAACGAAGAAGAGTTCATGAATTTGAAAGGAATAGGGAGGACCTAGGGAGAATTGGAGGAGAGCATGTGGTGGAAATGATATAAGCAGCATTTATATATGAACATCTCAAAAATAAATTAAAAATTAAGGGAAAGATTACTTGGAACTTTATGTACACAAAGTAAAACATGGATATTTCAAGAAATGCAGCTAAAATTTCTTCTGCATCATAGAATTTAAACAATATCCATGTATGTATAATTCAGCTACTATTTGGTTTTAATGGACTTATTGGTATAGCCTGGGAAATGTTATAATGTTTTGGCATTTTCTACACAGAAAATACTTTCTACTTTCTCATATAACTCAGTGGATATGGGAAGTGTCTGTGTAGTGATTTCTCTGGAGTTGTACGTAAAATATTCTTACTTTAAAATGAGTTAATATATACTACATTATGTTTTAAAAGCCTCGAACTCATAGAGAAAAAATCCATTTGCCTCTGCCTTCTGAGTGCAATAGTAACACTTAAAGAGTCACCTAGATGTGGATTGTTAGACTTTTGATGAGGTTTCCACCAAGTAGTACTGTAACATTTTATTTTGGAACAATTGAAAACCAGAAGCATGGGTTATCTCTGTGGTTGTTTGAGTTCTGAGATGCAAACTAAAGTTCACCATTGGACACCAAATACCTCTATGAATTTAATCACCTTCCTTTGCATCTTATAATTGATCTCTTAAGTTTCAAATGTGTTTAAAATTTATGTAATACCAAAGTGTATTTGGTGACAAGTCATCCTGTCACTTCTTTCTCCACCCACCTAGCCATTCTTTCATTCTTAGATACCTTTACAGAGCTTGCACATAAACATAACACAGATATGAATATATATTATTCTGTAATCACAGCAGAGGCTTTAGAGAACAAATGTTCCAGCTTTGAGGTAGACCAGTATAATTGCAGATGTTTATAATGTTTTGATACATGTATAGAGGCATACACACATTGTGAAACAATTACCACAGTGAAAGCCACCTTGTTCCCCCATCGCTGCACGCAATGGCTTGGTTTCAGTGGAGATTGAAGGTCTGCTCTTTTGGAAATTTTTAAGAATACTATATATTGCTATAGTTAGAGTACATATTTGTAGATATTATTGGAAATAAATTTATAGTTAGTAAACTTTACACTATTTTAATACGATTCATATGTGATCCGTTTGTGTATTCAACTTATTAGTATACTGAGAAGTTTACTTATCTATGAGTTAGAAGTATTTTTTTGAGACAGGGTCTCTCTATACAGCCCTGCCTGTCCTGAAACTCATGCTCTAGACCAGGCTGTCTTCAAACTCACAGAGATCTGCCTGCCTCTGCCTCCCAAGTGCTGGAATTAAAGGAGTGTGCCACTGTGCCCAGCTTTAGGGGACATTTTTGATTGACCCATCAGTATTTTTTTTTAACTCTACCACAAGGAGGTACATCCACTACATAAAAGGTCCTGGCAGATTGTCTCACTCTAGGGTCATTATCACATCCTCTCTGTTTGTGAAAAAGTTTATAAAGGCCAGCTTGTTGATGGCTGAGTGGACAAATGTAAAAAATCAACCAACCAACCAAATAAAAAACCTCTGGTTGAATCCTACTAAAGATTCAAATTTAATGTAAGATTCAATGATATGCCTTAATTTGAATCTCTATGTTTCTCAAACCTATTTCTTTCCATTATGTATATAACTATTTTAGTACAAGTTTACTTATACTTCATCAGGAAACCAAATTAATAAAATAGTATTAAATGTCAGGACTTACTGAAGACATAAATTTTGACATAAATTATATTACCTTCAAAACATATATACATGTGTGCTTATCACTTACTTTTTATTTCAACCCATATAATTAATTTTCTTTTCCAAGAAGTCATCTATTAAAGACATGGCTGACTTTCCTGTTCCTACCCAAGATGTGACTACTGGTGATGACAAACAAGGTATGAAAAGAATTAGTTTTATTCTTATAAGCATACCTTCCTATATTACCTCATCTATTTTTTGGGAACAGCTTCCAGATCATACGACAGACACTGCTAGTGGCTGTCTCTCTAGAATGTACACTCATTTGGATAGATCATGTAGTTTAAACTGTTGTCAGAAGTCTATAATTCACAAAGTTGTAGTATGAAGTTTCTGAGTTGCCTTAATTCATTGTTCATTGTTAATTTTAGGGTGCTTTGACACCTTACATTGGGTTCTGGTCCCATAGTGAGGAAATGAAAAGAATTGTAAGATTAATATCCAGTGTTGGCATAAATGATTTGAAAATAATAAACCACCATTAATGTATATTTGCATACAGGTCTAATCCAAGAAGAAGTTCTTTCAGACAGTGTGTCAATCCTAAAGCTATACGTATTTCTCATTGGTTCAGTGGTTATAGAGGTGTGATATGGAGCCTGGCTTCAATAAATCCTTATTTTACTGGGTAGCTGAGAAGGAATGCAGCATCATGTCCAGTGCTAGAGATACCCTCAGGCATGGGGATTAATTTGCCTGCTATATCCAGAAGTACAGGCAGGACCCTCTGCTCTGAACCCCATACTTAGTATTATCCTTTTATAATTTACCAGGTTCTTCCTCATATACCGTCTTTTTACAGACCTCACAAAACTCATGCTTTTGAAATCACTTAACATTTAGAAATAAGCAACTGAGCTCATGCAGGCAGTATGAATCATGTACTTATACAAGAAGAGAAAGAACTGGGACAGGAACCAAGATTTTCTGTCTTAAGCCAGTATTCCATCTGTTATATCAATTCACCACTCACAAGTGGGAGAAGCCAGTCTGAAGGGAAGCCATTTCAGGGTTTATTATTGAGCCCTGCCATTAATTCAGCCTCACAGAGACATTAAACCTGAAAAAGAAGGCTTCCATTAAGCACTGATGGTCTCTTGCTTTCTATGTAAATGTTTGTTTAGGCTATTCAAGTGGAACTAGACACTATCTGCTGTTGATCACTTCCCTGACTTGTTGATCTTTGCCGTGGCTGCAAAGCTCTAAGAATATTGAAGCTTGAGTTTAAATCCCAAACATTCTCCTATCATTGATTTAGCTTTTAGGAAGGAAAGTGGGAGAAATTTGAGATGCTTTTTTGGTAATACCCCTCCTTACTGCTAGTGGTTGTCTCTCTAAAATAGTTGAAAATATGCCTTCCTTCTGTAGGTGGAGACCCCGTTTCCATGCTCTATGAGGTTTCTATTATTCTAGAAATGCTATAGCAACTTCTAGAGGGTTGTAACACTTTTGTATCTGATGGATATGGGTTATTTGTTTTAATGTCATGTATCCCAGAAATAAAATTTTACAAGGCCTTTGTTTTCTTTTTCTTCTCCTTTCTCTTTCTTCTTCCTTAAACATGAACCAAAATACTTCTAGCCTTGAAAAGTACTGTAAATGAACCTTTACCAAAGGACGTGGCTGAGGATACAGGTAGGAGAAACCCATTTTAATGTATTCTCTGTCTAATAATTTCTAAATTAAAAAACCTCAGTTGTTTGGTGACCTGAAGATTGTTGTGTCTGTGATAGTGTGTTCGTTTGTCTCTAGATCTTTGGCTTGCATTTTGTTACAAGAAGCCTTAGACGCTCTACCATTTCCCTGTCTTCAGAAGAGTCTGACTTTAGATTTCACTCAGCTTGAATTTAGAAGTATAAAATTAGGACACCTTAGAATTTCAGTGATTCAGATAAACTTCTGTGCATTCTTTCTTTCCTTTCCTTCTCCTCCTCTTATCTTCCTCCTCCTCCTCCTTTTTTGTTTTGTTTTTAAGGCAGAGTTTTTCTGTAGTGCTTTGGAGCCTATCCCGGAACTAGCTCTGTAGATCATGCTGCATGCTGGCTTCGAACTCACAGAGATCCTCCTGCCTCTGCCTCCCAAGTTCTGGGATTAAAGACATGTGCCACCAATGCCCACCTCCTGTGCGTTCTTTGTAAAGTAAGGAGCTTATAAGGTGGATTAACCTGAGACCAAGAGTTGGTATTTCATTAGCAAAATGTTCGTCTTAAATATCTTTATACTCCTTCCCTACCAGGAAGCTACTGGTTAAACATGGAGTAGATTCCAAGGAGAAGGAAAGTAGAAGTTATGCTGGTCCATTTCTTGGAGAACTAGAAACGTGACTAAGAAAACAAAAAGAATGTTAGAAAATGTCTGGGCCTGAGTTTTTTTGGGTCTCTATTTATTTATTTATTTATTTATGTGTGTGTGTGTGTGTGTGTGTGTGTGTGTGTGCGCAGTGCCCATGGAGTTCAATAAGAGGTGTCGGATCCCCTGGAACAGATGGTTGTGAGCTGCAATATTGGTGCTTGGAACTGAATCCAGGCCCTCTGCAAGAACAGTAAGCCTTCTTAACTGCTGAGCCATCTCTCTAGCCAGCCCCCTTTAGCTCTCCAAATGGAGCCATCACTGAAGCAAGATGAACCATGTTGAAGATCAAGTGGCTCCAGAAAGCCTTCTTATTTAGATCTTTGGTTATGAGGATTTGAATGAAGTTTCTGCTTTCTTCTTTATTATTATTGCTCTTGCATATTTAGAATGAAAATAATGTTTCTTATGATTGGCTACCTATCATCCTGAGCTTATTTGTTTAAGGTTGCAACAGAGAAATCAGTAGATTGCTGAAGCTTATGCTGCAATAAATGTGTTTCCCAAACACTAAAGTCATTTGAAGTTTAAAAGCAAGAGTAGGATGGAGAACGAGGAAGGAGGAGATAGAGGGGGCTAGACATGAGACCCCCCCACCCCGCCCTGCCAGGTGATTCTGGTATGTAGCCTATTTGGAAACCACTACCTCCAAAAAATCAATGCTGTGAAATAGGAAATCAAGATGGTAAATCAATCATGACTTCAAAATCTGTGGGAATTCTCAAGCCCAATTTTGACTTTTGAAACATTTGGATCTACTCATCATGGGAGAAATGCTCTATTTGTATAGTCTAAACACCTGTGGCCAATTCTTATTGGCTCTGATTTCAGCTGTTAAGGTGGATGCTTTGCAGTTTTTGTAAATTTCATGACATGGTATTAGTAAAGGCTATTTCAATTAGGAGTGTTAAATTAATGCTTCTTCTATTGGCTTTGAGAATCCTAAATCTTTCTATTTGTTCCAGAGATTTCAGAATAAGCCTTGGTTCTCATTTTTAACATTCTTTGACTAGGACTTGGTACCACCAGAAAAAACCTAACAGGTGTGCCATAGCACATGAAGTATATCTAAATTTGTTACACACAGCCTGGGAAAATGCTGTGTGTTTTTTGATTTGGTCTTCCCACTGCTGCCCCCTTGTGGATGTGATTCAATATATTCAAACATATTTTCAGCCTGCTTCTTGCGAAGACACCACAGTCTTCCCCCTGGGTGATAGGAGAGTCACAAGAGGGTAATTATAATTTTGAATGGTAGTCAGTGTACTGAAGACAGTTTCTCTCAGTTCTTTTGCAGCCTTTTAGAAGGTCAATCATTAGATCTATGTCCTCTTCCTTTTTTTATTTCCTGGAAAGATGATGAAAGATGACATGCCTGGAGTGTTCCAGGAAGTTGTCATTTTCTCCTCTCTCTGGCTAAATGAGAAGCTGCGATCCATCCATTGGCTTTTGCTTGAGCTTACAACACAGTGTTCCCTTGTCATTTGTGCAGATACTCATGTGAGGTATGAGTATCTCCGGGGAGCTGATTTGCGTTGTATGGGTAGTAGATGGGAGATTTAACTACACTAATACTGTTGAACCTTTTGTAGCCTGAAACCTAGTCTGCTGCTAAGCTGTGCCTTGGATACATTTCGGCAGGCAGAGGGAAAAGCATGTGTCTGCTCTGCTTTAGTATACATGGTGGTGATAACAATGATAACGGTAAAGGTGATATGGGAGGGAATGATAGATGAGGGGTACCAAGTCATCAGGGAATGGAGACTCCTTGTCAAGCATTCCCACATACTCTTACTCTTTTAGTTGTTGAATGGATGTGTATTAGTGGAGTCTTAATAGGTTTCATGCCCCATGTTCCATTCTAGCTTAATTCAAGCACACATAGTGCACAGCTGTAGTTTTCTTCTTGTTTCTAGGTCATGACAAGGTGTTCCTGCTCAGTGTGGTCTCCAGACTGCGGCAGGCAGTTCCACATGCTGTTCCATTGCTAGTGACCACCTCAAGGTTCTTCTATAATGCAGTAGTTTCCCATCTGTACCTCTTTTTTTTCAGTCCTTCAAGGAACTAAATTCAGAACCCAGATTTTCAGGCCTAGAATACTATGAGTCTTAATTTGTGTCTCTATAAAAGGAACACTTTGTAATTCTGTGGGACATTCACTTTTCCTAGGACTCCAGCCTTACTATTTGTCCCCAAGAGCGAGGGACTTGCTTAATAGGTGAGGAAAGGCAAGCTCAGCAGTTTAGTGAGATGGCTAGGAGGAGCACCTGGGGTCTCCGCTCCCCGTTCCTTTCTCCATTGCTCATCCACACCCCTACTCCATTTGTCTGTCTATCTCTCATTAGCAGACCTCACCATTCCTTCCACACCCATTCCTGCACTAGCACAAAGATAAAGATAAATGATAAAGGAATTAACGGTTACCATGGTCTGGAAACAGTGTTTTAACATGACTAGGACTTTTGCTCCCCAAATATTTCTGGAAAGCAGTGAGGCCCGAAGAAGAACACAGAGGAGCAGTAGTGGGTCTGCTCAGAGGCCTGCCTCTAGCATTGCCGTGAGTATGGCCACATGTTGGCTTTCTAGCTCAAGGGCAATGTTGTTGGCTGTGGGGGGCACCATATAGGTTGCATTTCCTTGCTGCCTGGAGTTGGTAGGAGATAGGGTGATGTTGGTTCTTCTTTGCCTAGGCATGAGTGCATGGTATGAGCAAGGAGAGTCTCTAGCTCTTTAGCTTTTCCATACTTTCATTGGTGGGGAGGGGGTGATGGCAGCGTTTCAGTTAGAAGCTGAAACATGCCTTTTCTTGCTGCAGCAAGCCAAAATGCTTAGGTCAGGAGAAATGGCTCTTTTTACACAGCTGACCACATGTAAGGAGAGGCTTGCTATCTTGGGAGTTTGCTTTGTGCATTGCTGGCATTTATGAGATTTTTCAGCTCCCCTGTCTGCCTTGCTCATCTATCCCATGGGTTTTAATGATCATCATCAATCTAGGCTGCTTTCTATCACAGGAGGCTTTTATCTTCGGAGCAGTGTAAATGAGGATGGACTAGTGCGGCAAGACACTTGCTTTCAGATAACTTTGTGAAACAAGGAAACAAATTATATTCTTCCCATAAGCAGCACTCTTCATGTAGACTTTTATGATGAAAACTTGCAGTGTTTGCAAAACCATAGCAGAGCTATGAGCTTCTAAAGGCACTTTCCACAAATGAGTGGAAACACAAAAATGGGACTGATGTTTTTGTGTTTCTAATTACTCGTCACAACTTCTGATGGGAAAGTGGGCTCCATGGGTGTTGGACATGGGTGAGCACATTAGCTTCTGATATTGGTTTGATGAGGGAAAGTATGGTTGAAACATGTTTTAATGGTTTCATTCCATAATATTTGTCTGACTTGGTTACAAAGACAAGGAAACAAGAATGTTTTCTTTCCCTTTTCTTTTAATGGAGGGAGGTTTTTGAGATAGGGTCTTACTCTGTAGCTTAGCCAGGCTATTCTGGAACTTACTGTTTGCCCAGGTTGCTCTAAAAACCGTGGTGATCTCTCATAGGAAAAGCTTTACAACTTCTTTTAACTATTTTGTAAGTGCTCAGCTTTCTTGTGACCATGGTGCTCTGTACACACACACACACACACACACACACACACACACACACACACACAAGTGCACACAACACACACTTTTTTGAGCAGGTTCTCATTAATTATCCTTGGCTGGCCTAGAACACAATATGTAGACAAATCTGGCCTTGAATTTGTGCCAGTCATCCTGTCTCTGCCTCTAGAATCCCAATTCCAAGTATTAGCCACTCTATCTAACTCTGTTAATATATATTTAAAGAAAATATGCAGCTAGATATATTTCTTCCTAACCTTCATGGGATACTGATTTTAAGTCTATTATTAGACTATCATGAGAGACCATGAAACCCTCGGGTGGGAATCTACCATTATATGAAAAGATAACCTCATAAGTGGGTTGTCTTTTTATCTTGGAATGTCTCCATTAATACATTTAGATTTGAGCATGGCCTGTCAATGTCTTAATGAAAGAAAACATGCTGGATTTCTTTCATTTTCATTGGGCCTTTAGCTTTAAAAATAGTCAGAGAATTATCAAAGTGTGGAAGCCCATGAGATTTCCACATGGATACATCAACCTCAGTCTTGATTCTGTGTTCTGTACTAGCCCAGCTGCTACTTACCACCCTGATTAACTGAGAACTGAAAACCCAATCAACCAACAAATAATCTTTTGTTTCAGCAACTTCTAAGGACTGCAACAGTCTCAAAGCAAGACCAAGATCCAGGTAGTGTTTATTTAATTTCTCCCTTGATGCCTTTTGTACCCTGTCCCTGCCTCAAAATCAATCCTGAATCCTACACCCATACCCAAACCACTATCTGCTTTGCCTTTAGACTTGACTCTAAAGACCTGGGCCATTTCACTCCTGTGAGTGGCCTGCTTTGATTATATAGCGATGTTGGAAAGCCTCTTAGCCTTTGTGGACATTAGTGCTACAAGATGGTGGCTATTGTTATCTAGATCCCTGACAGGAAGTTTGTGTAAAATGACTGAGTTGGTATAGGATAAGTCAGAGGAGTTTAGCTTTGTTAAGAGGGAAATAGGGTTAAAAGGTAACAATTAAAGTTTCTGTGAATGTGAGCACCAAAAGAGAAGTCTGGGACATAAAATCTAGAGAAGGGAAAATGCTTATGGTGACTTCAAGGAGATGCTGGGCTTCAGGTAAGCATTACTTAGGGTATCTTTGAGTCATTCTTAGTGTCTCTTCTTAGCTTCACATTTTTAAAATATCCCTGAATGAAAGAGGGAGAACCAAGAAAGCAGAGTTGTGGCTGTTATCAGACTTGGAAGGGAGGAGCAGAGGGAAAATACAGAAACACAGAGTCTGTCCACTAAAGTCAAGAAGTGTTGCTGCCACTTTAAGGCAGCAGCTGCAGTGGAAGATAGACTACCACGTGGTCTTTCTGACTTTTTTTCTCCTTCAGGCTCAGCTTCTCTATTTACATCCCCCCCAAAAGTGGACTTAAACTTTATCACATTTTATGCTCTTGAAATTTAAGGACATAGTGTCTCAGTGCAAATCAAAGAATTGAGGTTTGGTTTCTTGTTCATATAAACCACAGATATTTATATTCCTATATATTTCTGAGCAAAAATTCATTTGAGTAGGAAGAAAAGCATGATCACTCGCTCTAGATGGTCATATTTTCTCTCTCTCTCTCTTTTTCTAAGGATTGGCAGACCCTTTACATATTAGTCTGTACTAGTTTTGGGATATAGAAGTGATAATATTTACCCACTTTTGTAATGAGAAAAGCCTTCTGGAAATTGCAGAAATGAGCTGATACATGCCATATTAGTCATAAATTGAACTTCATAAATATAGCTCTGCTGAGTTCTTATCTCCTCAAAATGAATGAAATTGTAAAATCTCAAACTGGCTATTTACAGAGATGAGGAGTGTCCATCCATCTTCTCATTTTTTTTCAAATTGTAAGGACTTGCAGAAGTATACAGGAAAGAGGAAAATTAACATTTTGATACGTTGTTCATCATTTGCAATTCCTTGCATAGTGTGTTTTACTTGGTTATGGTCCTGCAATACAGTCTCACTTATTTGGTATTCAGTACCTTTCCATGTAAAAAATATAAACATGAAGATCATATATGGAAAGGAGGTATGTGGTATGGAAAAGTATGTATATGTGTGTTCAAGCATGTGCATACACATGTGTATGGACACACAAACTATTACACATATATTAGTCTTTCTTTCTAGGATAGAAAATGTCACCAAAGCTATGTGGCATACAAAAGTTTTTTTCTTAAATTTCTAGCGAGGGACTTCAGCATTCTTTACAGAGAAATAGATCTTTTAAAACTTGGTTATCTTATTATGTTGATTCTTTTTGTTTCTATTTGACAATGTTAGGTAATTTCCCCCCTTGTTCTTGCCTGTGTTTGCCTCATCTGTCTGGCCAGATAAGGTACTAGAACCAACCCAAGAGCATGCCCCATACCATTATTATGGTTGCTTAAAGACCATGTCGTTTCAAAACAAACAAAACCTTCAGCCACCACAGAGAGACCTTGAGAAACTGTTTTGGTTTGGAAAATAAAAACCTTGCCTAGCAAGTTAGTTATGAATTGAACCTTATGGGACTCTGCCCTTCCCTGCTCAACTATTGATTACTGATGGGTAGTGGAGGAGGAACAGTCATTGCCTAGAATTGTATATTTACCAGAGTTCACTAGACATCAGTAGATGGTTCTAAGCTCACAGTCACACACATAAACCACAGAGGGTCTTATAAACAAAAACAAAACCAAACAACACCCCCCAAAGCCTGATGAATGTGAGAAGGAGACTTGGGAAGAAGCAGGGGTGATAGGGATGGGAGGGTAATTAGAGAGGGACTTGTAATAATCTGATGCACTTTATACATGTATGAAGTTGTCAAAGAACAAACTTAATAAAAGTTAAAAGCAAACAAAACTTTGCTTTGTGAAGAACAACAACTTTACCCACACTAAAGGGGTTTAATAGCCATTGATCAACTCTAATTCAGGAAGAACGACTGTAATAGCTAAACACAGAAGCCAGTTTTCTGAAGAGAATTTCTTTCTCAGATGTAGCTGTGATTCTTCTTTGACATGAAGTCAGCTGAGAACCTGAGTGGAAGAGATGGATACATACACTTCCTTCATGATTTTCCTGATTTTCATATAGGGATCCTGTCCATAGCATGAGACCAAAGTATGGAGTTAAAGTAATACAGAAAATAAGTAAGTTGCCAATAAATATCCTAGCTGCCACTGCAGAAAAATTTCTTCTGTGCTTCATGAGCACTGAAACACCACATTAAAAGTTGAAAGAGAAACAGACTGGAGTTTGCAGCATTCCATCCTTTCGTTCATTTTTTTCTAAATGTCATTATTATAGTGTTAGAAGTCTTCAAGTTAGCTGTGCCTTGTTTGTTACACTTTAAAGAAGGTTAAAATAAAGTCTTTGCTTTGAAAATTTCCACAAAACCACTATATCTCAAGGCAAGACTAGCTAACCCCCTGAAGCTGATTGATGTGTTTCTCTTTCTTGCATTTGAGTTTTAGTCACAGCATGGCTGTCCCCATTCCATATGTGCTTGCAATCACATTGCAAATAAACCCAATTTTTTTAAAATCTCAGTTAATAACATGAAACCCTGTCCCTAAAGCACAGAAGTATGCAAGCTGAAAGGCTTACACACAATTCTTAATAGTAACTATAACAGAAACCAATTTTAATTTATACAAAACATTTTTGGAGAGAGTATACCCTTAGGCCTATGGCAAAATAAGGGCAAAAGATCCCAATCATGGCTGAGTTTGAACAATTATTATACACAGAGACATTTAAGGAACAGCAGGATTTTTAGTTGCTTTTTGGTAGCCTTTCTGTTCTCTACATTCATTTTGACTTTGGGGTATTTTCTACTTCAACCCAGCTTAAGGGATTAAAGCTCTACTCTTTCCTTCTGACTTTCCCTTATTTTGCTACAGATCTTACTCTAGTACCTCCATAGATGAGACCATGAAAAGGGGTGAGGACCCTCCCACCCCACCACCGCGGCCACAGAAAACCCATTCCAGAGCCTCTTCCTTGGATCTGAATAAAGTCTTCCAGCCCAGTGTGCCAGGTGAAGTGCCACCTTCCCATCCAAGTCCACCCCTTTCCTGTTGGAGCCAGGATTGCCTCTGCTGCAAAGGTCCCCATGTGTCAGGGAAAAGAGCAGACAGACCTGGCAGTTTTCCTTGCCGTGCAACTCTTTATATTGCTGTGATATTCTTGGGCAGGAAAACTCCCAGACAGATACATAGCATATGTGCCTGGAGACTTTCCCACACTGCTGAAGAACAAGAATTATGAAGTTCTGCTTTACTAAGAAAATAAAAATGCTTCAATTCCAGGCAGCCCATGGTGTGCTTGACTGCAGCCTTGTCCTATATTTATGGCAATTTTCCTGAGACACTGTGTGGTTAGGGTCAGAACTCCGTGTTTAGCACCTAGCCAGAACCTTCTATGGCAGTTTATCCTTGTGTTCTTAGCAGAAGGCTTCAAATCTGACTAATGGTTGGGTGGAGGGGTGGTCTGGAGCTAGGGGCCTTGTGGGTGGCCTCCTCTGGGGTTTCTGGGATTTTTTTTTGAGCCAAAAACTGCCTTGGGGCTGAGGGGTGTCAGAGAGGATTGCCTTTTCTCCTACTTCCTGTGAGGTAGGCTATGTCTTAGGAAACTAAGGAACAAAGTGTAAGAGACATGCTTTTGCTTTTGCTTCAGGACAGGTGACAGTATAGGCTGTATAGCACTGCCTCAGATGTCATTTGGGGAGCTACAAGGGCCTTTCCACTGACATATGTAGGGGAACTATCAATATGGTTTTCTTAAATGTTTTCTCAATATGTGTGCAGTTTAAATCAAGGCAGACTTGGCTGCTAGTGATGTGTGGATTATTATCCTTTCTACTAAAGCAAAAGGTCCCATTGGCTCTCACATTAGTATGATCTCAGTGTTCTGGCAGTGCTCAGGATGTTTCATTTATTCTAATAAAGTACTCTCCTCATAGTAAAGTTATAGATTATGTTTTAATATACTCAAATCTGGAACTCTCTATGAAACTCATTCTCTGCAATGAGTTCATCAGACAAAAATTTCCCCCCACACTTTGATCCAAATACTGATATAATTTCATAGTGACTTGTCTCTAGGGTAAGAGTAGCCATGGCTGATGATGTTATGAAAGTTTTACTTGCTTATAAGATTAGGAACTAGAAGACTTTGCTATGGATGCAAGAAGATTAAAATAAGATAGCTGTGTCAGTATCTTTCCCTTGCAAGAACTGAGAATGGAAATGTGTGTGCATCTCTAAGTGTATTTGGTGCTCAGCTTAGCTGCTTTTGACCTGTTTGTTTTTCACAGATTGAGGTAGTCTTTCTGTGCCTCAGATTCTTTATCGTTAAAGTAAGGCCAATATAGACTGCATGGGATTGGAAAACTTTGTATAGTTGGTAAATGTGCTGCAAATGCCACGCTGTCTGGCCCAGACACCTTGATATGCACCCAAGGCTCATATTTTCAAGGCTGGAAAGTTTCAGGAGCAACCCTGATACTTTGTTCTTGTGTGATAAGGATGATTCCTTGATGACAGTGGACAATTCTGTAATTCTTTCTAGAAAGTTTTTCAGAAGGTTTCTAGAGTGACCTAGTTTAACCTGTCATAGTACCCATTTGTTAACAGGTCTTTTATTTTTTCTTTCCTTCAGCTCCATCTCACTTTGCCCACAGCCAAATAAAATACATTCTCTAGTTCCCATCTCAAGGCTGCGTTAGGAAGATCTTGAATTTAGGCAGTAATATTTTAACATCTTCAATGATGACATGCATTGCGTGATGAAAAATGTTTTGGTTTGTGCCCTGACCCGCGGGGCAGTCAACAACGAACCAGGAAACACCTAGGAGAATTGAAGGACAAGGACACACACACACACACACACACACACACACACACACACACACACACACACACACACACACACAAAAAAAAAAGGATGACAGCAAGAAAGTACTCTGATCAAGCTGCCAAATTTTATTTTGTCAGGGGAGGCTTATATAGGGCCATATAGGCAGAATGTGAGCAGGGTTTGCAAGTAGGCAGGATGAAAGGGTCAGTAGAAGGAATGCTCTGAACTAATTTTTAACTGGCTGTAAAAGTGTAGCAGGAGGAATATCCTGAGCTATTCTTTAACTGGCTGTAAAGCTGCAACAGAAAGAATATCCTGAGCTATTCTTTAACTGGTTGTAAAGCTACAACAGGAAGACTATCCTGAGCTATTCTTTAACTGGTTGTAAAACTGCAAGCCTGTATCTAGGAATGCTCTGCTAAGCAATCTGCTTCTTCTTCTTCTTCTTCTTCTTCTTCTTCTTCTTCTTCTTCTTCTTCTTCTTCTTCTTCTTCTTCTTCTTCTTCTTCTTTATATTATTTTACTTTTTATTTTACATATCGAGCCCAGTTCCCCCTCCCTTCTTCCATTCTTCCCTTCCTCCCTCCCTCTTTCTCTCTCTCCCACCCTTACATGCACCCGGACCACCCTCCCCTCCCATCTCCCCCCACTCACATGGAGGGTGATGCCCTCTAGGAGGGGTCATCTAAATCTGTCAAGTCATTTGGAGTAGGGACTAGGCCCTCCCTCCTGCCTCTAGGTTAAGGGAGTATCCCTCCATGGGGGATGTGCCTGCAAGGTCCTTTTGTGCACCAGAATACTTCCTGGTTCCACTGTCTGAGGTCCCTTAGACTGCTCAGGACTTCTAGCCATGTTCAGAGGGTCTGAGTCACTCCCATGCTGGATTCCAAGCTATCAGTCTGGGGGCCCATTAGCACCTCCTTGTTCAGGTAAGCTATTTCTATATGTTTCTGCAGCGTGGTCTTGTCCTCCCTCTCTGCATCTGGATTCCAGTTCGGCTCAGTGTTTAGTTGTGGGTGTCTGCTTCAGCAGGTACTAGATGAGGGCTCCGTGATGGGGGATGAGTTAGTCATTGATCTCATTATCAGGGAAGGGCATTTATGGTAGCCTTTACACTGTTGCTCAAATTGTTAGTTGGGGTCAGTCTTGTAGGTCTCTGGACATTTCTTTAGGCTCAGTTTTCTCTTCAATCCTATAATGGCTCCCTCTTTTATGTTTCTCTCTCTCTCTCTTTGTCTCTCTCTCTCTCTCCTTTATTCCTCCCCTGACTCAATCTTCTTAAATCCACGTGCTTTCCTCTCCTCCCCTTCTCTTTTTCCTAGTTCCCTCTCCACTCACTGCCCCCCCCCATTCCCAATATGCTCTGGAGATCTTGTCCCTTTCCCCTCTGTGAGGAACCCTATATGAATCTCCTAGAATCTTCCATGTATTCTAGTCTCTCCAGCGGTGTGAATTATAGGCTGGTGATCCTTTGCTCTATGTCTAAAATCCATATATGAGCGAGTACATACCATGTTCCTCTTTTTGTGACTCAGTTACCTCATTCAGGATGGTTTCTTCAAGTTCTATCCATTTGTCTGTGAATTTCAAGATTTCATTTTTTTTTTCCCCCGCATTTCCATTGTGTAGATGTGCCACATCTTCTTTATCCATTCTTCATTTGAGAGGCATCTGGGTTGCTTCCAGGTTCTTCTTATTACAAGTAATGCTGTTATGAACATAGTTGAACACATGTCCTTGTTGCATGGATGTCGAACATTTGGGTATATGCCTAAGAGGGGGATTGCTGGGTCCTGTGGTAGACTGATTCCCATTTTCCCGAGGAACTGCCATACTGATTTCCAAAATGGCTGTATATTCTGCTTATTTCTTAAGAGGCAGTAATTTTCTATCTCTGAGGCCTGAGGTAGTAAGGATGGTGATGGTCCCCAACAGGTTTGATAAATTTCTTAGAGAAAGTCCTTGTGGTATGTGTAGATAAATCTAAGTTGTATAAAAAAATAGCTGAAGGGGGGGGGCTGGAGATAACCCAGTGGTTAAGAGCACTGGCTGCTGTTCCAGAGAACCTAGGTTCAGTTCCTGGTGCCCACATGGATGTTTATAATCTGCTGCAACTCTAGTTCCAGGGTATCCAATGCTCTCTTCTGGCCTCTGTGGACACTACATGTGCGTGGTTCACAGACCTACATGCAGGCAAAACACACAAAATAATAAAGTAAGTAAGTAAGTAAGTAAATAAATAAATAAATAAATAAATAAATAAATAAAGATGGAAATAACAGCTGGGCAGAGAGATCTGCATTCATAGCCTAATCCCACTATCTTTTCAGAATAGGTTTACACAACTGAATTGTTTTGATTTTCATACAGGATCTTACTATTCAGCCTGGGATGGCCTCGAAATCACTATGTAGTCCCAGGCTGGTTTTGAACTTGTGGGGGGGAATCCTCCTGCATCAGTCTCTCAAGTGCTGGACCTACAGGTATGAGCCACTATACCAAGCTTGCACGAAAAGCTTACAGAAATGAATGCTTAACAAGCAGTTTACATTTGTCTCATGAAGAATAGACATTTCTGTAGTCTAAAAACATGGTATCACCATGTCTCTGGTTTTTATTTGTGTGGTACAGCATGGTGATCAAGGCAACTTGAAAAGGGCTTATAAATCCTGAGGAGTAAGAAGAGTCCATCACTATTGTGGTGGAAAAGTGTGACATTGGGCAGTCACTGCAACTTGAGCAGCAAGCTGAGAACTGGCAGCTCACAACTTAAACCACAAGCAGGAAACAGAGCAAACTGAAATGGCACAAGTGCTTAAGCTCTCCAAACCTGCTCTCAGTGATATACTTCTTGCAGGGCCACACTTCCTAAGTCTGCCCAAGCAGGGCCACCAATTGAGGATGAAGTGGAGAATATGGAGGATATCTCATTCAACCCACCACACATTGCATCTACTTAATTTGTTTGTATGTTAGTTCACTCTTACAGAAAAGAAAATTTTTTTTCTGAATTCTCTGCAATTTTTTATGGTCCACATTTCTAGAAAATAATAAAAAGTGACAAACCATAAATGCCTAAAGTAGAGACTAAACCTCCCAGAGGAGTCCACCTAAGAGAACTTATCTGAACTATCTTCATTGCACAGGACTTTAGACATCATTTTAGGTAAAAAGGATCAG